AGAGAGAGAGAGAGAGAGAGAGAGAGAGAGAGAGAGAGAGAGAGAGAGAGAGTCGAACACAAACATAAGCTGTCAATTGAATCTTTGAGAGAGAGAGAGACACCTATGTAAGCTGTCAATTGAATCTTTGAGAGAGAGAGAGAGAGAGAGAGAGAGAGAGAGAAAGAGAGAAAGAGTCGAACACAAACATAAGCTGTCAATTGAATCTTTGAGAGAGAGAGAGAGAGAGAGAGAGAGAGAGAGAGAGAGAGAGGACTCAAACATGGACATAAGCCGTCCAACCTTTCATGGCAATAAGGCAGACCCCTGAACGTTTTGTGGTTAACCGGGGGTGTTATTTACGCTCAATGTTGGTTAAAGTCTCACTGAAAGGGTTTGTGTTTGTTGGATTTTAAAATCTCTTTGGAATTGTTCTTTTTTGGGGTGGCCCGTATCTGATGTAGAGCTACCTGTTCTGTGGAGTGTTTTGCTGTTGGGCTCATATTAGGTGTTTTGGACTTGAACGCCGGATTTGCCAAAATCAGTGAACCCTTAGTGAAGCGCTTTTTTCTTTTCCCTTTCTTTTTCTTCGGTTTGTGGCTATCAAGTGCTGAACTCACAAGTGACTGTGTCATGGACAGGACTGATGTGTGAGCTCTTATGGAGCGATCCTCAACCCGATAATGGCAGGAGCCCAAGCAAAAGGGGAGTTGGTGTGGCATTTGGACCTGATGTGACCTCCCGGTTCTTGCAGGAGAACAATCTGGGTAAGCGAAGTGCCTCCCGCCTTTTTTTCATGATTGAATCCTTCTGGATTTGAACTCGCATGTCTGTTAGTAGTCGCGTGTGCGCACCATTCAGCCACTGCCTTGCTTCTGATGATTCCATTCTGGATGAATTCATCAGGATTTGAACTCGCATGTTCTTCTTTATGCTGACGATGTTTGGGCTGATGTTGAGTTTTTCTGTTGAGACTTTCTGATGATTATAACGAACATCCCTCTCTCTCTCGCTCTCGCTCTCTCTCTCTCTCTCTCTCAAGATGGTTTTGATGGTATGAGTACATGAATTGAACTCTCTGTGAGGCTTTTCTTTTTTATTCTTCTTCTTTTTTTTTCCCCTCTCTGAGGTTTTTCGAGAAAGGCAAGAGGAGGCGAAAGCAAGGCTGAGATTTCTATTTTTTTCTCTAATTTGTAAATAGGGCGTGCGGCTCTTTGCTGCAGTGTGATGCAGAGGCAGCGCGGGAGAGGTCGAGGAAGCAAGCTTACCTGTAAAAGCTCTCCGTACCCCGAGAAAAAATAATTTATTATGTTGTGGTGGGATGGACCACGGATCAGATATTAAACTGATCAGAACAGATACTACACCTGATCTTAGCCAAAAGGCCTTGGTGAATGAAACTGCCCCCTGCAGTGAAGGAATCCTTTCTGAGTGTCATATCCACGTAAAACTGCAGGCATTTGCAACTCTCTTCTTTTGTTCTTCCTCCTCCTCATTCCTCTCTTCTTCTTCTTCTTTATCGTCCTCTTCTTGTTCTGCCTGCCTTGTCTACCAGTCGAGATGTTGGGTGTATAGTGCCTCAATTAACTTTTTTTGTTTGTTAACTGTTCCGCTGTGTCAATTCCTCTCGAATGAACAGAGTTAATTGTGAGGTCACATGAAGTCAGGGAGGAGGGCTGCCAGTTAGAGCACAATGGCAAGCTAATTACAGTGTTTTCAGCGCCAAATTACTGTGACCAGGTATGATATGCATCCCATCCCAATGGATGTGCTACCGCAGTAGTAGCGCGGGATGATGCCAGTGTCCATGGGAAGTGCATTTCCCCAAGAACCATACATATGGAAAAGTGACCCCCCCCCCCCCCCCCCCCCCCCCC